CTCAGCTCTCCCTGTGGCATCCTCCTCGATATCCTTTTTAGAGGCAGACACTAATTCTAGGCAACACTGAAAGTTAGTAGTGGTAGATGCACCTCTATCCCAAAAGCCAAAAAGGTAATTTTTATTCCACTCCCTGTCTCTACCCTCTTGAGTGGACCAAAGGGAATCTTTTCTCCTTTTGAAATTCTGTATCTGAGTTGCAAAGATAGATACAATGATAATAAATAGGAAAACATGCAAAGCTGCATCACAAACCAATTCATCAGAAAACAGAGCACGCCAGCCTTACAAGTTTGCCTGCAGCTCTTGTCTGCTGTGTTATTTTTAAACTGCCTGCAGGTTGCAGATTTTTCAGTGGTCCTTCTCCTTCCAGCATACACAGAGGATGTAGCAAGGCACTACTTCCATTAATATGAATTTAAGTTACCAAAATTCCTAGCACATTAAAATTCAGCATCCTTCATCTTCCCATAAACGTCTTAGAGCAATTTGTGCATTCATAAGAGGGCATCCCATGTCTCTTCCAGCCTCTCTTTGTGGCAAGGTCAGTATAACTCAGCTCCGCATCCCTAATGTTCCCAACTGCTATGCATCAGCCTGCAGAATGCATCCTGCAGTTGTTATAATCAGCAACCCAGGCATTAAGCTACAGACTCTTTGGATGATCATGAAAAACCCAAGAAGATAGACCCAACTGACCAAACCCAATGCTCATTTTAACACACTGTTATCACTCAGACCTGACTGTCTCAGCACCAAAATCATCTGCTGTACAAATGGAGGCACAGGGCACTCTTACATCCCACATCCAGGACACAAACTTCACAGTATTCCTAGCAAATCTGCTCCACTTCTGAGGGACACTGGATGGGACAGAGTCAGGACTTGACATCTGTAAGTGGGAGAACTTCTATATGCAGAAAAACTTCATGATCCATGCACAATCCCTATAAAGAATGGGCTAATGGGAAGAGTAGTCGATTTATGTCCCCATGATATTTTAAAGGTGGCAGCGATGGGGCATTTTTTCAGAAACACTGATCACCACAACTGGTTCAAATACTCAGTCTTTCTGATGGGTCAGACCATGCAACCAAATGTAATTAAAATTATGGGTTGTTGTGGGTTTTTTCCCTTCTTTTCTCTTGCAGTGCAGAGCAGTTCCATCAGGTCAGAATCTCTCACCTCATCTCATTTGGGATGTCTCAGACATCAAACCATTCACACTTTTAATCACTGTTAGGAGCTCTAGAAATTACCCCAGCTTGCACTGTAAGAAGCACTTGTCCAGCAGCAGCAGCACAGCCACATTAATTTCCACCCCTTTGACACAGATACAGAGCAGATGACAGCTGTGTGATATATGAAGAGTTTGTTTTGGAACTGAAGCTCCAGCACAGACGCCTTTGTCCCAACAGGGTCCAGCATGGACTTGAAAGTAATTCTGATTTAAATAGCCAACAAGCTTCTGATGACTGTCTCTTTGTGGGACAGTGTGGGACCAATTGTTCTGTCTTAGCAGTGGTGGCCAAGCAGAGCTTGACCTCTCTGTGTTGAGTAGGGTTAAGTAGCTGTGCTGGGGGTTAAGCTTGGGCTTGCTTGACACTGTGTAATGACTGCATCTCATCCTTCTATGTTACACAGGTAGTTAAGTTGTTGCTTGTTTCCCCCTGCTGATTTGAAGAGTCTTGATTCGGCTCTTGGCTTTTTATGTTTTGCAGACATCCTCTATGTAATTGCATGGCCCGGCCCCAGGCTATCAGGCTCCGGAAGAAATAACCGCATTATTCCACAGAACAGTTAGCATAATTAAAATAGTGACTGCAGATTAAAAAAATGTGCTGAATATTTCAGAGTGGTTTGGAGAGCTGGCAAGTCATGGCAGCTTGTTGGCTGTAAGAACTGTCTGATATTTAGGCATGCCTTCTCCTTCAGCATTCATTGCTGTACGTGGGAACTGCTTTTTGTGCTGTCAACTTCTTATTTCCCAAGCAGTCAACCCACAACCAACAAAAAACGAACGGACTGGAAACGAGGAGCTCCAAGGGCTTTCTTGTGATTCTTACTGCCATTGGTCATGAGACTACTTCCTTGTTATTTATGATTTCAGGACATCTGTCTTACTGTGTTTGTATCTATTTTTGTGTCCATCTCTCCAAATACACAGTGTAGGAATTGCGTATGGTGAGAATGTACCAGGTGAGAAAACCATTTGCTTAAGAACTGCCTGTACTGTATGAGAGGCATTAATAAAGTTTAAAAGCCCACAAAAACCTCCACTGGAACATTTGTTTTAGCTACCATTCCTTCTTCAAACTTCAATTTGATTTCTATCTGTATTTCATCTGTAGCCAAAGTCTAAGACATGAAATCCTTATATTTCCATAACAAAGAGGGCAGATGGGGATGGAAGAAACTCAGCTGACAGAGTTGGTTGAAATTTCAGAAGCACTGATTGCTACAGGCACTTTCAGAACTTTTAGTGCCTTTGTAATATCTCCCCAATCATTTTTATACAGGAATATCTGGATAACAAACATTGCTAGAGATACACAGGTTTGGGTTTGAATGACTTCCTGGTTCTCTCTACATTCCTTGCTATCTGCTAAAAAAGGTAACATGATCTTATGCTACTAGAGTTAAAAGAAAACATGTGGATGATGCCTAAACCATTTTGCAGACACTTACATCCTGAATGAAATGCAATAGGTTCAGTAACTGCCAAGGTACTGCTATAAATCAGCTTCTTATTTAATCTTCACTTACATGCTTGAGAAATTCCTGGAATAGCAGGAAGTGTTTGAGCAGCAATGCCATCTCACAGGCAAGGCCCAGGGATGGCTGAGCTGAGGCTGTTCTACTCCACTGTAGCTTCTAGGGACAAGAGTCTGATTTATAGTCTGATGTAGAGCTCTTCTGAGAGGAGCTAATTTTGTGAACATTTCCATTCCCACTCAAGGGATGTCACAAAAATGGCCAAATGCTATTTTCTGAGGCTTCTATTACAGCTTTAAAGTAATTATAATAGCAAATTAATAGCAGAACTACTCTGTCATTTTCCATTCTTATTGCCATCTCTGTAATCAAGAGCAGCCCTACTTTTTCAAAGCTTATTTCTGTGATACTTCTCATTTTTGAATACACAATTAGGCAAGGAGCATGATATCTTGGCACTCCAGTTGTGATCTGTAGGTTCCTGCTCTCCTCCTGTGCTAGGCTCATTGCTAGCTCCTGCTCTCAATATTGACCTTCAAACTGTAAATTATAAATATCATCTTGACTAGACACTATTCTTTCAAAGGTAAAAATAGATTTTTACATACATATTAAATCTATTCTACATTAAACCCCAAGATAAGGTCTCTGGAAGGAGACCAAAAAATGCTGCAAATTGAGTACATAGAGAAATTCACTGGGCATACACAATGGAGGCAGGGGGAATTGTTACAGCCTTCTTTCTGTTCTGATAGTTCATGTGGCCAAATTTTTAGTTTGTCTCCACTGAATGATTCACCTCTATTACAAGTATTTTCAAAACTAAATGGAAGAGGAGGAATGTGTTCATTCCCCTGCTGTGTTTAATAATAATCCAAAAATTGTTTCCTGTTTACTTGGAAATTCCCACCTCCATGCTGTGATTTAAGCATTTTCACCCTGTTAACTTAAAAACAAAGCCTAGAAGATGCTGTGTAGTTTTTATCTTGCAATCATAAAGCAATTAATGATAAATGTTGTTATTCCAGGAGAAATTAGAAATGTACATATGTTCATAGCTCTATATTGCTCATTTAATTCATAACTCATTGGTGAAAAACCACACAAGTTGTCATTCAGTTTTTATTTATGTAACATGCCTGATGACTGATGGCAGCATCTCTTTTAACAATCACTGCACTGGTGCTTAGGCGCAAATCTCAGCAAAGACATCAATAACCCCATTTATGGAACTGTGCTACTTTCTTTCATGGTACTGGCTAGCACACGACTGTGAATAGTCAGTATGTGTTGTTTCATACAAGACTTGTCTATAACCAGAACTTACACTGAATTTTCAAGGCAAAATATTAAAAATACCTAAATTGCTTTTCCAGCTGAAGCGTGATCTCTGAATTCCTGTGGCTTGGCTGGACAAAAAGGAAAGAATTTTCCCCTTAGCTTCTTCAATACATTTGTACAATAGCTCTAAGATTTTACTTACGTAGCACTTATCAAACAAACTATTCTTACATAAAAGATTTGCATTAGCTTACAAGTCAGTGTGATCTGTGTTAGCTTATGCGAAAAGAGTTCATTTAAAAGGCAACAGTATTCTGTGGTCCGAGAACAGAACTAGAAACTGGGAATTCAGAAGAGAGCTGAGCTTTCTCACCCTTCCTCTCAGCTTTTCATAGAGGTTTAAATTTTTCTAAATGAACATTACATTTACGTGATTAACTGGAAGCCACATGGGCCTGATTTACAGATGTGTTAAATTTCTACTGCTCCTATTAAGGCTGTTGGGAGCTTCCAGCTCTCCTTGTTTCAGAAGGCTGTAATGCAGCTACATGCAGCCCTTGGGAGGGAAAGGCACACCATTACCTAGGTGAGTACCAGACATGAACAAAGGCAGGAAAGGAATGGAAGAAATTATAGGGTGTACAAATTCAGCTCATTCTCCTCTCTATGGATGTAATAGTCCTGATTCATCCATGAAGGACAGCAGCAGTGGAGATGCTGAAATATTTGCCATCCAGACAGGTATTGTGCAAGACCAGAGTGAGGAGAGCAGCTGGTAGGAAGCACTGAGCTGGCACCATTAGGATGAATGCCTCTGGCTGGTGTCTCTGAGCCTGGCTGCTGGCCCCAGCAATGCAGAGACTTTCTTCAGAGTCTTGCATTGCTTATCTCACTAACTAGATTGAATGCTTGTTAGCCTTCATTTGCCTCCCATTTTTAAGTCTAGTATATGTTAAGACTATTTTGTCCAACAGCTGGCTTTCCTCTCTTGCCCTTCTCAGATGAGATGGAGCAGTCCCCTGCAATGCGTTCTGACTACTTGGTCTCAGGGATTCGAACTCCCCCAGTGAGGAGGAACAGCAAACTGGCGACACTGGGCAGGATCTTCAAACCATGGAAGTGGAGGAAAAAGAAAAATGAGAAGCTAAAGCAGACATCTGCAGGTAGGATGAGAACCAGAGAGTGATGCTACACAGAGCAAAGCTTAGCTTGGGGGAAACACGCTTACACAGAAAAAGTTTATAGTGACCTGATCTAAATCTAATTTGGAAATTTCAGCATGTTACAGATTAATGTTGTTTAAGGCTAGAAAGAGACCATGAAGGCTGACTTCCAATATAATATAATATAGTATATTTAGAAGACAAGGTCAAAATTCAAGACTGAAGCACAAGCCTTGACACAGACTGCTTTCATGGGTTGTCCTGTCTCTAAAATAGGCTACGTTTATGGCCCCAAGTATCATTACCCCTTTTATTTGGGGTAAAGATTATGTAGGTCACTGTAACATTATGAAAAGTGACAGGAGGGAGATACAGCATATAAAATGCTTTCCCTCAAGCAGCTGTCTCTGCAGTGAAGAAGCCCAGCATACACCACTGCACGCTCTCGCTAGTCACCAGGGACATCCCAGGAAATCAGTAAAGAAACAAATTCAGTTGCCTTTTCCTAAGATAGGATGGTGTAATTCCCTCCACTTGCCCCAAAATCCTGTGGAGTGTCACCATAAGGACACCACTTCCTCAGGCAGCTCCAATGTGCTGTATTAAACAGCATTAACTCTCCAATATCCCCACTGCTAGTAGATTAGACCATTAATGTCACCTCTACATGTGGATGATTTTACAGGTATTCTAACAAAGGAAAAGGCACAAACAGGCTTACCAGCCCATGCTCTCCAAAACAAAATCATTGCAATACTTTCCAAGCACACAGTAGTTGAGACTAGAGGGAATATCCAAGGTTGCATCTTTCTCACTCCATTATATGAATACTGTGCTGTTAACTGATGCTGTGTTATGATACTACTTTGTGCAGTGCTGGAGAAAAAGATGACAGCACGACAAGGTCGGGATGAACTCATTAAGAAAGGCCTTCTGGAGATGATGGAACAAGGTATGTAAAAATTCAACTTTTTTATCAGAGTCTTTTCCAGGACATATAATTGTGAAAGATGAAACCTAAAAATCAATAGAATGAAAAGGAAAACCTAAAATCCAAAGAGAGAAAAAAAGACAGTATCAGAATTAAACATGTCTCTCTTCACATTCCTCTCTGCTGCAATCAATCCATGCAGTTTAATTTTTGATGTTTTACCATGTTGAATGCAAATCCATCTTCTCTTGATTTATACATGGTGCAATCTGAGCTGTTAGGTATATTTTATGCAGTCACTGTAAACCTACCTTGATCCCACTGCCAAGATAAAGCTGGTATAAAGATAAACTTAAACATACAGATGCATCCAGCTAACATGTACCATCCATGAACCAAATCACATAAAATGAGAATGACCTGATGTTTTCAGTTGTCTTTCTGGTAAATCAAGTTTGTGACAAAACATATTACCACTCTGCCTGTTTTTCATACACATGGAAAAGTGGAATGTTTAGTTATGTCATTTTAAAGCCTTCCCGAGTACAAATCAGGTTCAGCA